TTTTACACTTTAACTTTGCTTCGGCCATTCGAGATTTTTCTATCGTAGCAAACCGGAAGTTATACTGTGTATGCATGTGTGTAAAGTGTACACACGTAGTCTAAATTACAATAACCGAAAAGCTATTTTCTGTGATATTTTTTTTAATTCAAAAACATTTTCACATTGCTTTCAGAAATATTATTTTTGAATTACAAAGTAAAACTATAAAAAGAAAAGGAATGTTCTGCTAGGTCATAATATAGGGCAAACACTTAGGTAAAAGGAGATACGTACATTCAAAATGTCATAATTAAGCTTATAACATGTTTAGGTAATGTCATTGCAAAACAGTAATTAAATAATTTGCAAAATAGTTTCCTATCTGTACACTTCATCAACGTCTTTAAATAAAGTCACTTCTTATCACAATTGCGTGGTTATTCATTAAATTGAGTCGGCCTTATATTGGCAATTGAACGACCAGGATTTCACGAGATTATGCCAACAGTATTTATTAGATTGTAAGAGCATAATCCTACGGGTGATTTACAAGAATGTAGCAAGCTTTTCTGGGACATACATGACCAAATATACAGATAAATGTATGACATATAGTTTTGCTAGACTTCAGTGAACAGGAGGACAGAGACGTATAGGTATACCGTCAGATAGAAGGTAAGCGCGTATGAGTTGTTCCCCTTGGATCGAAGTAAAACCCATCTTCGCCAGTACGCCGACTGTTATATAATTACCAGGACTTTGATGTTGTGAACGGAAAACATTTATTGTCTGAAGTTTGACTTGTTCACAACCATAGGAACGATTTATGTTCTATATCCGCGATGTATTGCTATAACAGACTAATGTAAAAAGGTCTCTTTTGTACAAAAATATAAAATAATGAATGTTCACCGCAGTGTCTTTTATTTTTCCTTTTTTTTTTTATTATTTTGCGAATCTCATGATGTAATTTTCCTGTTTCCTGCTATTTTACTAGAGAAAAAAATTAAACTGTGCGAATATGCTATCTTTACACCAGAAACTACGGGTCTCGCATTCATATTCTGTGCTGAAGTTCAATCAAGAACGAGAAATGGCTGTTTACATCATCAACGATGTCTGGTCCATTTCAGTGTTCCATCTTTGTAAAAAGCCTATTATAAAAATAGCTATTGGAGCTCGCCCGCTCTTGAAGAAACCTGATTCAAATCTGATTTCAATCTGATTTCAACTTGTGTGTCTTTCAGGAAGAAAAAGTGACCCAAGGGACTTGAGAAACATACTGATGGCAATTTTCTCCACAACATACAATCTGCTTAGTGGGCATGCCACTTAACAGAGATTTACCTCTGTCGCAGTCTTGGATTATAACTCTTCGGCACTTTTAATAAGGTTCGATCTATGTGGCCCTTTTAAGTAATTAATTACGTATTTTAAAGTGTCCGAACTATCTATCTGGAGAATCTGCTGACCCAGAGTCATGTAGGGTGAGCAGAATCATGAGGGCTAGTCTGTGAGGACCAAGCTGAAGCTATGCAAAGAGCAGAAGGAGAAGGACAATGCACCGAGATACGATTTGGACAAGGGTCCCAAGAACAGCAGAGACCTTCAGGCCAAAGATGAAGAATGAGTTTGAGAGTTTCAAAGACAAAGAAGAAATTGTGGAGAACTCGATATATAACCGGTGACGATGTACATGGATACAGAAACAGGAAACTGCCAACACGGACATCAATAGCAGTCCATAGAGACCATGGAACCAGATCAGAGAGGATAAACGAAAAGGAATACGGATAGAAGGTTAGGGAGTGCAAGATCAGAAAAGAGGGCATTATGGATGTTATAGCAAAAGAAACTGAGGAGGAGGCGGTGAGCAGAGAACAGCGAGACGATCACAACTTGTAGTATTCGGAAGAGTTTATCAATCTTCTAGAAATATTTAAGAGTAATATGAAGTAAAAAGAACAAATGGAAGAGGATTTTGAGGAAGAATTGAATGGAGAAAGACCCAGAAATCCCGTAGAAGGGAAACGTGAATGGATATCAACGCTAGATATCTAACACATGAAAGCACAAATTGGAAGAAAGTGCCCAGTCACTGATAATTCAGACAAAAATGGAGGAGAGTACGTCTTAGCAACGTCAGAAACAAATGAGAGAAGTTGGCATCTATGAAAAGGAAGGTTATTCCAACGAACTGGCAGAGATTGAAGTACCAAAGGCTTGGGGGAATGTGACAAGTGGATACGTGATGTCTGATTTCCAATTCCCTCTGATGATCGAACGGCCAGTGAACAAATCTACCCTTTCTACCCGAAAGGAAAATAACTGCAGAGCGCTAGATGCTCTTGAAGACCTGGGCCCGTATTCATGAAACCGTTCTCATGGACATGGAGTCTGTGCTCAAAACATGTCAAACGATCAAAAAGTCAAATGTAAACATTTAAAACCGTGTTTGGCTCAACTCTCCTCAAATGTTTTTCTAGATCATTGACAAAATAAGATTTTATTATTGATTTATAACCTGAACAAGAAATTTGGTTTGAGCACAAAATCCATGCTTGAGCATGAGAACGGGTCCTGGTCTTTGCAGATGACCAATCTGTATTTTTCCTCAAGTGTTGGCAACCTTCAAAGGAAGACAAGTGAATCGGATAACACTGCTAGGACATCGACACCGACAAGACAAAAAGCATGGCAGTTACATGGCTAACAGCTCAACGAGTGAAAATCTAGAATGAGGGAGGATATGGAGGTGTTGCAGAACTTCACATAAATGAAGAGGGGAGCTATGTGGTAGATATCGGCAGTCGTATCGAGAAGACAACGCCTTATGCCTTCTACATGCACGGAAATATATGGGGATCAATCGTAATGAGGTATTGGAAGATCAGTCAGAAAGATGGAGACTTCGCGAACACCTTTCACAACAGTTGTCTGCAGAAAATACACAGGATGATCTTGTTGAACGCAGTCTAACAAAGAATTGTACATGATGTGATGAAGATTCATGGAGGGCAATGAATTGACCATGTCCTAAGAATGAAACGGTGGGATGATTGAAGGATTGTGGTGATATGGACACAATGAGGTTATTATGACGACAGAAATAATATTGTGTAAAACATTGGAAAACAGGGAAATTATCTGGTTGGAGAGACATTCGACAGAGTGGAATGGCGAGGGATTTGTCTATGACCTATACGACATCTGGTCACCTCATTACTTTTAATTTGTAAATGCAAACAACGTTTTTCTTTCGCAGTTTCCTTCTAGGTCGAGACAGCCAGAATATTTTCTGTATGACAATGAAAACAGCTGATTGGCATCATTTTTATGATTAGATATTCTAGCACTTATATAGTTCCATTTTTTTTTTTTTTTTACTGCAGCAGTTCTTTTTAAGGATGGGAGAAAAAATCTCCTTGATTCTATCGCGAATTCTACACCCTCCGGTTGAATTTAATGTACACCCTACCTTTACATAATAGACTTTTATAATCTTTTTATGTATTTGTACTTAAGATTTTTTCTGTAAACTTATAGGACGCCAGCAAATTTGAATCATTATATTTTCTAATTTAAGTGTCAGCAGGAACGGTTTGAAATGTTATATAATTCAATGTGTTGTTGTCCGTAAGCACTTCACTTCAGAACGGTTTTATGAATATGGATCTGGAACTCGGTCTCCTGCATTTATGACACAATCATCTTTAGCAATATTACAATTACGCGCAACTTTTCAACCTGAATAAAAAAGAAATTTACCACAAGACAGTTTTCATATTATGTGTGGATAGAAGGGTTAGGGATGGAGGTTTGGCAACCCAAGGCATATATCCTAAATCCCAAGTTAATAAAAGGCAAAGAAACGGGAGGCCAAGTGGGCCTGAATCGCTCACTTGGATACTTTGACCCCGTGACCTACTTTGGCAAATAATCTGATTAAAAGCGGTATAACAAATAATATCCCAGGGTAGGGCCAGTCTCTGGAGCCAACATGTGTATCCAAATATGTTTTTGTTCAGCAATTATATTTATTGCTACAAAGTTGGGATAATAATAATATAATAATTTGAGGTTCTTATATACCGCTTTATCACAACATAGTTCGTAGGTCGTCTTAAAGCGATTCACAAATTATTATCCGTGTTTATAGGGCCTTTGCAACCAGCCAATACCTTTCTCAACTCCCTGGGAAGCATACAACCGGAGCTGCCATTTCGGGGCTAACAGCTAGCATTCAACAATTCTAGCACTGCCCAACCACGTACTCATTTACAGCCGAGTAGACTGGAACAAGCGGAGTAAAGTATCTTGCCGTGACTCGAACATGCAACCCTTCGGTCACGAGCCCGGCGTCCTACCACTAGACTACCGTGCCTCCATCTACCGTGCGGGGATCTCCAATGTTTCCATGTTATGATCCAGGGAATCACAGATCCCAAAGGCAATTCTGGTAGCATGGTTGTGTTAATCTCTTCATGCCTAGCAATAGTATTTGATTAACAGGTAGATATCTCAACCATTTCCATGTAATGACCCAGAGACTAAGTTACCAGGGGAGGGGCAAACACTGATGCCAATCCTTGTGGCATACTTTTATGTAAGGAAATTATATATATATATGGTTATTGGATGGGGATCTCTACTATTTCCAAGTTGTGACTCAGAAACTAAGTATTTTTATTGGGTGGCCCGACTCAAACTCAATTCCGATATCATACTTATTATTTCCACCTCTTCATGCTCAACAATTGTGTATGGTAATGGGGCTGGGATCTCAACCATTTTAAAGTAATGAACCAAAAACTAAGTCATCTCCTCTTTTGTACACATTTGAATCCCCACCACTAAGGTATGTTTAAAGTCACTTTTAGTTTTCCAATCTGCAGTTAAAGGGATGAAATTGTTTTAAGAAATTGTTGACAAATAACCAACGCCACAGTAAGACATTAAGCTCACTTTGGTCATGTGGACCAGACGAGCTAAAAACACTCCAAAAAATGTAAAGTTCATTGCAGTTTTTTATTGCTTTTTTCTGATTTCATTAACGAATCAGATTCACAGCTTTCATTATCAATATAATCATTCAAATAATTTATAACCGGCATTCATGATATTTTCCCTGTTAATCATTTTATGCTAAAATATTTCTTTCTATAGACAAATTGTAATTCTCTGGTGGTCTAGTATCCTGTGTCACAGGTGTTTTTAACAGTAAAGGAGAGGGATGACATAGTTAACACAGTGTAGAACAGTGTACAGCTAGATAGCTTAATAATATGATAGCACTTTGACAATTTTGTCCATTTTCTGACAGAGGTCACTTTGCTCTCGACCACCATTGACCTCTTTCATAAAGATTGACTAATGAAAAAATTCAATGTGAAATAGAATCATCCGGTACCTCAATAACCCATGTTGACCCCCTGTGACTTAAGTACCCTATAACCCATGTTGACCTGTGACACAGGATCACTTCAATGACTGGCTGACTTGGGAACCAGGATTACCCAGTGCCCAGATTGTACACTGTGACCAGTATTATATTCACAACCTTGGTCGACCTCTGTGACCTAGGATTGACAACCATGATCAAGGATCACCACAGGTTGACCCCTTAGATTGTGGTTGACCTGTCACATAAGTTCCATTCAATGACTCATGTTGACCACTGTGACCCAGGATTTCATCAAAGACCCAGGTTGACTACTGTGATGCAATGACATCTCCAACCAAAGTCAATTGCAGTGTGTCAAGCGAGATTCAGGCGAGTGATCAGACGACATCCACATTATAAACAGTGACACTATAAGGTAGGATTCTGTTTCTAGGTAGATGCCGTCCATTCTTATCCCGACATCCTTTTACAATGATGAGGCGGAATCCACATGTGAAATCGCTGTGATTAAAAATAATAAAAATCTATATGGAGGAAGCTTATTGAATTAAAGCGTTCAAGGCAACAACCCAGGTTATTTCTATAGGATCCACCGCTTATCAATCTCCATGGTAACACAGCCTCACTATGATATTTGTTTTACTCTGCTTTGCTCAGTTAAGTTTCGGGTGCTGTTCAACAGCTGATGCAAATTTGTCCGTTGTCAGGGCATTGGCACATCGTTCCGTACATTGTTGGGTTTGGAGTTAATCTTCATCTCCACTCGGTTAGGAGTCACATGACCAAAATGATCTTTGATGACAATCTGCGCCATTTTCCTTCGACCTTAAAAAGAAGGAAATCAACTTTCTTTTAATTTTTGATCAGATATACCTATCTTGTAATTCACCAATTTGTGTTTTAGTAGCAAATAAAAAAAAAACACAATTTGGAGTTATTTTCATTGCTTTGCCTTTGAACAAAAACTAACTAGTCCAGAGTTCTGAGCTCTACACTAGTTTAGGAACAGCGGAGTCTGAGCACTATATTAGCCAAAAGGATCAACTGAGCCCTGAAACCAAAACAGGTCCAAATAAATTCCCCCTGATCGATCACCCCATGACTGGTCAGAGAAAAAACAGAGTCCTAATCGTGGCCTGATCAGGTTAACACTGGCTGTGAACACTGGTCTTGTCGCAAGATTAGCCAGACCCAGAATTCTGGACATGCTAGATAACATTACCTTCTATGAGGTCCAAGTACAGCTTCAGGAAGTACATCTGGGCAGGCAAAGGTGTTCCGATGTAGTTAGAGCTCTGGAATGTAAACATGTGTATTAGACACTTTTATTTCACAAGTCTTTAGACTGACACTTTACGTTTCTCATGGCTGACCATCTCACAAGTCTTTAGACTGACACTTTACCATTCTCATGGCTGACCATCTCACGAGTCTTTGGACTGAAAATCTCACGATTCTCCAAGACTAATATATCACAATTCTCCAAAACTGAAATCTAACAATTATTTAAGACTGAAAATCTCTTTTGACTGACATTGCAAGCACAATGATGACAACGTGTCAATATTGCAAACTGAATGAGTTACACACTGATTTCAGTAATTTTTTGTTAACCCAATATATACATTCTACTGGTACTGAAAATTATATTCTTAACGTATAACAAATTACTAGAACATCAAACTGGTTCATATAAAACTATCCCCCGGAAGGACTCACCTCTCCCAGGTTGGCCATCGCTTTGTCATACTCTCCACGTATGGCGTGCGCTGTGGCCAAGTTATACTGCATTATAGCTTTGGCTTTTGTCAGATCTTTTGGTGACCATGGATACAGAGAACCTTTCAGAGAAATAAGACAATGTAAGTACACATCTAAAAGAGGAAAGTGACTGGATTATACTTTTCAATCTTAAAGCCGCGGTCACATCTTACGGTCACGCACATAGTTGACCATAGTGAAGGATGACCGTAGTTGACTGTATTAGACCATAGGGGACCTTAGTTAAACGTATTAAACCTAGTTAGACATAGTTCACATAGTTTGAAATTCAAGAAACCCATGATTTGGCCGTGGTTAGCCCAAACATTTTTAACATGTTCAAAATATCTCTCTACAGTGAGTTTGGATGCCAAATCTCTACTGTGACCGTAGTCTGAACGTAGTTGAGCTTAGCTGACCGTAGCTGCCCGTAGTGTGACCCTGGTTAACTGTAACCATTTTGCTCCTAGTTCAACGTATTTGGACATATTTACACGTAGTTCACACTACTTTCTTTATATTTCCTCTTTCGCCAATTTTGAACCTACTTCATGGCAGAGCAGCAACTTCAACCTAGTCAACTGTAGTGGCACTACAGTCAACTACGTTCACCTGACCTACGGTCAATTACATCCGTGACCGTATGATGACCTTTAGTAAGGACAAATTTTCCATAATTTCAAAATGTATATTACATTCAAATAGTTCCTTGCAATAATGATTTAGAATTCCTTCCCATTTGTCTACAAACCTTTGGCTTCTGATGGTTCTTGGTCTTTTTCTCCTTTGTCCAATTTATCTCCCTTGTCATTTTTATCTGAAGTAGAAATATTTATGATTTGAAAAAACGGTTTTGGTCAAAGATTCTTATTGTTTGTTAACCTATGAATACTAACTAGTTCCAACACGTCAGTTAAAGCCTCGTACATTCTAAGGCCAGAGGAAATAGGGTCTGGTACCTGTGAAGCCAACGTTAAAGAGGATATTTACATATTATAAAAACAATACTGTGATGGAGATATGTTTTATACAAAGAATATTGTGTAAGAAATGATTCAGCGACAAATGATCAGAGAAGTCATGGGTCAGTTTAAACCAGCTTTACTGTATATACCTGCTAATACTCATCATTCTTATCACCCATCTATGAACCTCAGTTTACAAATTTAACTGGAGCTTTCCACAATCTCTGTTCTCCTAACACTAACAATCTTTTTTGTTTCCATGTTCAGAACATTTATGTACCTTGTTCCGATTTCTGCTCTGGTGGATTTGTACTGATATCCACAACCGTCTCCGGATTCAGATGCTGTATGGCGTCTGCTATCTTATCCATGGAGACAAGAGCCTCTGCCATGTACAAGTGGCCAAGGTACCTAGATTAATTAAAGTGATCCAGTCAAAACAATCATGTGACAATGATTTATAATTTATCTTGATAATTTGAAAATGAGAATACTTGGCCTACTTTGTTCATTAAAATCAGATGTACTGTTGTGTTATTTGTATATGATGAGTTTGTCCACAGGTAACAAACCTCTGTGCCCCTGATAGTCGAGGTTGTCGTAGGAGATTCTCAGCATGTTGTAGAGCCAGAGCATAGTCATACAGACACAGAGACACATAGGCTGCTGCTGCCAGAATAGAGCACCTGTCAAAAACAAACATCCATGTGATAAAGAATCAAAACCAAGCATCTTTATCATACAGAATCAAATCAGGACAGATCACCTTTAAATTGGACATGTGAATATGTCACCTAGCAACATGTAGCATATGCAAAACAAACAAAGCATCAATTTCATACAGAAGCAAAGAAGATCAGAATCAATAGTAGCAAATAGTTGTACTAAAACAACACTCTTTTGAACAAGAGGCTCAGAGGGCCTGTATCGCTCACCTGGAAATGTTAACAAAATTGAAGTTGAAATAGCCAGATGTTGCTGCACATGTATACGTAATACATGGTTAGTCAGGGGTTATATTTATATGCAATTGGACAAAATCCTGTCATTCCAACAGAAAAAGAAGGAATTTGAAGAGTTTGTTATGTTTCCACTATTGGGCCTGGCCCCTCTGCCCCCAGCGGGGTCAGACCCACCATTGATACAAAATTAGTTCCCCTTCACCCAAGGATGCTTTAGACAAAATATGAACATAATCCTCCTACAGAAGAAAAAGAAGACTTTTCAAGAATTTGCTAAATTACCCCTATTGGGCCCCACCCCTCAGGCCCAAGGGGGGTCCGACCCACCATTTATACAAATTGATTAACCGTCCCAAAAGAATGCTACCTTTATTTCACCTATTCGACCCCGCCACTCTGCCCCCACGAGGCCACACCAACAGTTTATACAAAATTTAGTCCCCTCGGACCAAGGACGATTAAAACTAATTAAAGATAAAATCCATTTATACAAAATAGATTAACCTCCCCAAAAGGATGCTACTGTTCAAATTTGGTCAAAATACCTTCATCCCCATGGAAGCAAAAGGATATTAAAGCTATCCCTCTATATCCCTTAGTGGGCCTGCCTCTCTGCCCCCAGGGGGGTGAGGCCCACCCTTTATACAACATTGGTTCCCCTTCAACGAAGGGTGCTTCACACCAAATTTGGACATAACCATGTCATTTCTACAGCAGAAGAAGAATTTTTATGAACTTGCTATGTTTCCCCTATTGGGCCCTGCCCCTCTGCTCCAAGAGGGGCCTCACTCACTGTTTATACAAAATTGAGTCCCTTTGGCCCAAGGATGATTAAAACTAATTAAAAATAAAATCCCTTAATCCCTATGGTAGAAGAAGGATTTTTAAGGTTTTACCTCTATTTCACCTATTCAACCCCGCCACTCTGCCCCCATGGGGCCACATCAACAGTTTATACAAAATTTAGTCCCCTTTGACCAAGGATGATTAAAACTAATTAAAGATAAAATCCCTTAATCCCTATGGTAGAAGAAGGATTTTAAAGGATTTACCTATATTTCACCTATTCGACCCCTCTGCCCCCAGGGGGGGGGGNNNNGGGGGGCCACACCAACAGTTTATACAAAATTGAGTCCCCTTGGCCCAAGAATGCTTTAGACTAAATAAGGATGAATTCCCTTAATCCCTACGGTAGAAGAAGGATTTTAAAGGTTTTACCTCAATTTCCCTATTTGGCCCTGCCCCTCTGCCTCCAGTGGGGCCACATCCACTTTTTATACAAAATGGAGTCCCCTTGGCACAAGGCTGCTCCAGACTAAATTAGGATAAAATCCCTTAATCCCTACAGTAGCAGAAGGATTTTAAAGAATTCACCCCTATTCGACCCCACCCCTCTGCCCCCAGGGGGGCCACACCAACAGTTTATACAAAATTGAGTCCCCTTTGGCCCAAGAATGCTTCAGACTAAATTAGGACAAAATCCCTTAATCCCTACAGTAGCCGAAGGATTTTAAAGGTTTCACCTCTATTTCCCCTATTTGGCCTGCCCCCAGGGGGGCCACACCCACCATTTATACAAAATTGAGTCCCCTTGGCTTAAGGATGCTCCTGACCAAATTTAGTCAAAATCTACTAGGCCGTTCAGGACAAGTAGCGTTTTAAAGGAAAAGTTGATGGACGATGGACTGACGGACGACAGACGCTGCGGTATGGCATAAGCTCGGACCAGGTGAGCTAAAAATCCATTACAAATGTCACACAACTATAAACCTGGTTTTCTTTCTTGTCACACCAGCTATTGTTTATCATACCTGAGATTGGCTACCTCCATAGCTCGCATTGGGTTGCCAGGTGGAGCAGGAACCAGCACCATTTCTGGGGGAGTCTTACTGAAAGGTAGATATGAGTATGACATATAATTTACAACCAATTATTATTCAAAAGAACACATTCATTTCTATGTCTGCAGAACTATAGGACTATCTTCCACAAACATGAAACTACCATATCCATGTTTAGTGAAGGTGTCCTGTATTGCGATTCCAGGATATGATAAATTTCCCTCAGGTTCCAGGGTTCTTACAAGATATGTACATAATTATTGCACCAATATGATAACAACAGGTTCTACAGTACTCACACTCCCTCCTGGTCCTCGGCCGGTGTGGGTTGTACATTGAGGGGATCCTCTCGTAGAAGAAGCAGGGCATTTTTCAGACAAAGGGCAGCAAACTCAAGATTGGGGGCGGGTATTGCCGGTGTACCAGGGCTGTGGGGAAAGACGAGGAAAGTCATTGGCTAAGTGGTCTCCCTCTCACAAACATCATATAGTTATGTAATATCTATCTTTATGGAATCTAGATAGGGATACCCCTGACAAAATCTATGTAAAATGTCCACATATTAAAACAAAGGTATTTTAAGTGGTTCACGATTAAGCCTAATATTATGAATTTGTGCCACAACAGTTCCTGCTGCAAATGATGCAGTATTGCATTTAGCTAACAAGTTTTTTTAAGAGATAACACATGGACACTTTTACTGGATTGCATAAAAGTTCAAAAAACTGTAATTTCTACTTTTAGATGACATTAAGTTTAGCTCCCTACCTTGATCTGTTTTTGTGAATGCCTGGACCAAGTCGTAACTTCCTGTGGATGCCACTCCCATCTGACCCCTGAATGACTTCTAGTCTTCGTTCTAATTTTCTGTCATCATCATTATTCTAAACAAAACAAAGATATCTCTAGATTATAAATCACGTTTTGCTTGAATATAAAATTGTTATTGCTGAAATCTTCATATACTTAAGCAACTTACAACAAACAGTTTCTTGAACTGAAAGCAAAAAACTAAATAAAAGACGTTCTCCATGGTTATCATCATAATGATCTGGAATGTCAATTTTTCTACAAATAATAAAAAGTTACATGAATTAAGTGAATCGGGTTACATATTTTATTTATTTATTATTATCTTGTGCAAAATATACCTGTGAAAATGTACATTTGGTTTACTGTTATATTTATTAACATAAAGTGTAATGACTGGTATGTCTTTACCATCAGAGCATGCTTCCATACAACATAGCACATTATCATTCAACAGACTAAAACAGCTTACTTTGCTCTGAATACAGGATGTTGATTTATTTATTAAGGGTATGATCTGATATGTTCATTGAAAATATTTCTTACATATCAGTAAAATAGTCTATGGTTGCCTTTAATTTGTGTTACTAATAGAATTTGTTATATTTGTAACAACTTTTTAAAGGTTCAGATGAATCTTGGTGAGAATGTAGGGTGAAATACATAAACATATGAAACAGTAATATTAATGTCAGAAACATTTCTTTTAAGGCAACTACAACAGAAACGTAAATTAAAAAGAGCACAATTTGATTTTTGAATATTTTTTATGCCATCACTTAATTAAACTAATTCACAAAACAAGACAGAAGGGAGGTAATTCCTTACAACCTCATCATACCCACCTCTCTGTTGGCCATTATACAACACTCCGCGAGCCGTAGCCACAGCCGAGGGTTGATACGGAACACCTGTACAGCCTCCACCAGACACTCAAACGCACCCAGGGGATTGCCACAATGCAGCAGCTGTATACCCATGTTGTACAACAACTCGTAGTGGCGACTCACACCTATCATGTTTAATGGCTTCCCATTCAGATTCTTATCTAAAGAAAAGAAAATTATAGTATTTTAATGTATGAAACATGAATCTTATACTACAATAACATGGTCTATTCCTTACTACCTGTGTTGAGGCAATTTAATAATTAAAGATTGTTTCTTCTAATTCTTCTCACCTCTGGGTAACTGTCATAATATTTCTCTTGGTTTTTTCCCCCCAATAAGCTCAACATATTCAAAATTTGAAAATGTTATATTCCTTTTGCATTCTGAATAGCAACAATTTTCTGGAATAACAAGTTCAAGATTTGTCAATATTATTTGGACAATTTCTGTTGATATCTCCAAAGAGGATTATGACCGTCCAATTACAGTTGTATACCCAAGATGTCATCAACTGAAATGGTATGTGAATGTTTGCTCCAATACAAATTAATTCTGAGGTAATTAAATTTGATTCTTGTAAAGCTATGATCAATTAAAGAAGGAGATGTAGCCATCAATAAGTAGTAAGCATGGTATCCAAATAAAGAAAGGAAACTTAATAGTATTAAAAGTTTAACTGTTATGGATATTAAGTTAACCAGGTTTTGATGGTAAAGTTAAACTGTTACGGATATTAAGTTAACTAGGTATTGATGGTAAAGTTTAACTGTTACGGATATTAAGTTAACTAGGTATTGATGGTAAAGTTTAACTGTTATGGATATTAAGTTAACTAGGTATTGATGGTAAAGTTTAACTGTTATGGATATTAAGTTAACTAGGTATTGATGGTAAAGTTTAACTGTTATGGATATTAAGTTAACCAGGTTTTGATGGTAAAGTTTAACTGTTATGGATATTAAGTTAACCAGGTTTTGATGGTAAAGTTAAACTGTTACGGATATTAAGTTAACTAGGTATTGATGGTAAAGTTTAACTGTTACGGATATTAAGTTAACTAGGTATTGATGGTAAAGTTTAACTGTTATGGATATTAAGTTAACTAGGTATTGATGGTAAAGTTTAACTGTTATGGATATTAAGTTAACCAGGTTTTGATGGTAAAGTTTAACTGTTATGGATATTAAGTTAACCAGGTATTAATGGTAAAGTTAAACTGTTACAGATATTAAGTTAACCAGGTTTTGATGGTAAAGTTAAACTGTTACATAAATTAAGTTAACTAGGTATTGATTATAAAGTTGAACTGTTATGGATATCAAACTAACAGGGACTATTTAACTCACGCTGCTCTGCTCCTCGGCGAAGATCTTTGATTGCATTCTCATTTTCCTGAATGGCCTTTCTAAAGTTAAATGCTCCATTGTGATGTTTACGCATGTGAAAATGAACACATCCCATATTGTTATAGTACATTACTGGCAGGCACTCTCCTGACTCTGTGAACAGTTGCACAAATGAAGGTGGCCCCAACATTTTGATTGTTTTACGATAATTGCCTCTTAGGTATTCAAAGTTACTCTTCAGAAATATCACAGATGTGTTCTGTAAAAGGAATAGAGTAATTAGTAAACAAATATTAATTATTTAATAATTCACATGCAACAATTTTTTATATATATATAAATCGGAACACAAAGACATATGTAAGGTGCCATGTCAGAAGTCATGCCTGTTCCAATGACATAGCAGAGCATAAAAGTTGTCATCATATCTGGACCTCATGGCAAACAATCGTTCACACCAATCTGATGGTCTAATCCTGAGAGAAAAAATAGTCTGAATAAAAATTTGGCAAATAATGTGATATAGTATATAAGCTCACCAAAATGTGAACATCTAAAGAAATGTGTATTTTGTTCGATCAGCAAATAACGTATACCATGTACTCACAATTGCCTGGGTATTACCATGTACTCACAATTGCCTGGGTATTATCATGTTCTCACCATGGCCTGGGTATTACCATGTACTCACCATTGCCTGAGTATTACCATTTTTCATTTCAACAAATTTTATTTCATTTAGAAAAAGGATTGAACAACAGGCATAGCCTATATTAGTTCTCTCCTAAAGGTAACAATGAGTGTTTATGCCTGGGTATTACAATTGTACTCACCATTGCCTGGGTATTCCCATGTACTCACCATTGCCTGGGTACAACCATGTACTCACCATGGCCTGGGGATAACCATGTACTCACCATTGCCTGGGCATTACCATGTACTCACCATGGCCTGGGGATAACCATGTACTCACCATTGCCTGGGCATTACCATGTACTCACCATGGCCTGGGAATTACCATGTACTCACCATGGCCTGGGTATTACCATGTACCCACAATTGCCTGGGTATTATCATGTTCTCGCCATGGCCTGGGTATTACCATGTACACACCATTGCCTTGGTATTACCATGTACTCCCCATTGCCTTGGTATTACCATGTCATCCCCATTGCCTGGGTATACAATGTACTAACCATTGCTTGGGTATTACCATGTACTAACCATTGCCTGGGTATTACCATGCACTCACCATTGCCTGGGTATACAATGTGCTCACCATTGCCTGGGTATACAATGTGCTCACCATTGCCTGGGTATACAATGTGCTCACCATTGCCTGGGTATACAATGTACTAACCATTGCTTGGGTATTACCATGTACTAACCATTGCCTGGGTATTACCATGCACTCACCATGGCCTGGGTATTACCAGGTACTCACCATTGCCTTGGTATTACCATGCACTCACCATTGCCTGGGTATACAATGTGCTCACCATTGCCTGGGTATACAATGTACTCTCCATTGCCTGGGTATTACCATGTACTCACCATGGCCTGGGTATTACCATGTACTCACCATTGCCTTGGTATAACCATGTACTCATCATTGCCTGGGTATAACTATGTACTCACCATTGCCTGGGTATTACCATTTTTCATTTCAACAAATTTTATTTCATTTAGAAAAAGGATTGAACAACAGGCATAGCCTATATTAGTTCTCTCCTAAAGGTAACAATGAGTGTTTATGCCTGGGTATTACAATTGTACTCACCATTGCCTGGGTATTCATCAAAGACTTTATCTCTCTCTTACAGGACTTCATAGATTTCATCATTAATAAGCACCGTGTTTTGAACTGCAATAAGGAAATGTGAAATTAATCCAGACAATGAATGAGGATCATGAGGAATAAATTTATCGGTAAATCTAACTCATTTTATGATAAATTTGTTATATTAAGATTCTGCATCTCAACAAAATACACGAAATATTTTTTCTGGGAATATTTTCTTGATTGAGGTCAGAGGTCAAAATACAGGTTGCAGTGATGTTGTTTTGTTTGTGACATGCAAATTTGCTTGGCGATAATATTGTATCAAATTTGATGATTCTGCATACACTTTGCAATATATGACTATTAATACATGTGACTTTTAAAACCAAATAAGAGATAAAGGATGGCTTATTTTAGGTGTATGAGCTCCAGAAATATTTCTTTATTAGTATCCAACTCTTCATTACAGTACCATGCTGATTTTAGGTTTCCACAACTCTGATGCTTCAGAATCCTCCTTGTTTTCTTTCTCAGTTTTTTCCTTGCTTCCATTGAACATTGTTTTTTCTGCATAACTCAGCATTCCAATAGCTTTTTCTGGCTGTAATTAAATAATGAAAAATATACAATATTTAAATACAATATATTTATATCATATTATATATTAGCCAATATTTCAATGATGAAACTATGGAAAGAATTCATTTGTATATATTAAACCCTATATTAAAACAAAGAATGTGGTTTCGTTTGCAAAGTTGGCTTATACAAAAAAGTTCAAATTTATTTGATAAAACTTGATTCCACAAATTGAGCATGATGTACACTACATTACACTTAGTTGTGTAAGCCTTACCTGGAAAGTACACAGGTACAACTCCACGAGTAACATGACAGCTTTTCTAGCCAAGGCTTCTTCTATAGGAGACCAGGAAGAGATGGGGAAACAGGATAGGTTTTTAGAAGACTCAAAATTATTTTCTAGGTATATACATGTTCATGAATATAACAATATTAAAAAAAAGACACAAAATACCCAAGAGGGATCATGGTCCCCAACATATTCTATGTTAGTGTCACCTTTTCCCTTAATTCTCTTATCTGTTTGATTGATAATCATCTTAACATTAAATATCTTGTGATTACTTTTGATCAACACTTCCTGTTTGATATTGTCCATTCTAAGTCAGGTCGTTCGTTCACATATCGACTAGTGTGTGAAAAAGAGAACAAGAAATATTGCTGACTTCAGGTGTCCATTGTTACTTCTTACAAGCTAAAAAAATCAGGAACAACATACCTATTAAGTTAACTGTTTGAGAAAAATGTGTAATTCTGTAAAACTGTGATACAAACTTCCATATTCAAATTTAATTAAAACCAAAATGCAATGCAGGTTCTGTTCACCCCTTTTTGAAATTTCATTCATATTCAAAGAGTCAGTTTTTCTGGTCCTTTATAAGATCATTGCTTTACACAAAAATATCAAAACATCATCACCATGTGAACGTGCTTATCAAAACTTATTTCATTTCAAATGTAAGCTGAAAATATATCAAAGTTAAAAAAAAAGTAGGTCAAGATATTAACTGGGGTCAAGTGTTGCCATACCACAAACATCGTTCCAGTCTTCAACAATTTGAATGACTCATTTCATATTTAATTCTTTCAATTATCATGACTTTTAATATGTTTTGTTGTCAAAATGATTTTTACCCAGAGGTTCGATGAACTGGAAGAGTTTGTCTAGGATGTTGAGAGCAGCTTTGTACTGTCGGAGGTGGTACAGTACCACAGCCTGGTTGTAGTAGATAACACTATGGTCCACATCCTCCAGGCTTTCACTGTTGTTGATGTTCACATTTGCCTACACAAATACAATGATGACAATCAACCATCTTTTAAACATTCAAAATTCCATCTTCTTTATATAAAATGATAAAGGTATACTGGTCAGTGTATGTTACCAAACTCTTTCAATAAATTGTATTTCAAAAGTTTTGTAGATAATGTGTCCATTTTATATATAAAAAAAAAAATGCTGGTGTATTCTTGAAATAAAGTTTCAAAATATTAAAAAGTAAAAAGAAAAAAATGACCTCTGTATTTTATTTCTCAGGAAAGTTGAAATATTTCTTGGATAAATAGAAATGGAAAAGTTTAAACGTTGGATGTGCTAGAGGAAAAATAAAGGGCCATAACTTTTGTAAAATTTAAGAAAATGTAAGATTTCATGTTATAGTCATTTTCAATTCATATAATCACACCCTTTTGTAACATTACATTAAGCCTAAATGAATATCCGTCAAACTAATTTGGTTACAGCTTTGATGATGAAATTAGAATTCCTGATACATTGTAGGTGTTTAACCGATTTGCCAAACTTACCATAAGACACACTGATGACAGTCTATCACGGAACTCATCTGTTGTGAGAAAGCCACTTTGATAGAACTCAGCTACAGCCTTGTTATGCACCACTTTTGGATCTGTGCTCCTTTGAGCAATCAACTTGTGCATGATATTACAACATGCACCATATTGTTTTTGATTGAATTCCTGAAGTGCCTGATTGGCTAATTCTTTCTGTTGCTCGGTAACTGATGGAACTGGAGGAGGAGATTCAACTACCTCTGCAGAATCCTCTTTGTTCTCAGCCATTTCTGTTATCAGATATCTAAAAAGAAGTTGGTAAGAAAATTACTTATTAATTTGACAATTAGAAATAATGTGAACAGCATATTTTTTAATTTTATACCAAATCTAAATTACACAAAGAAAGAAATCATGATTCCAACTAGAAAAAATACTTATAGTCAAGAAGTGTCAAAATAGTTTAAATGGCATTAACTTTGGTGTCAGGTTGTTTCGCCCTAAATCCTATTTGCCTTGGGTCATTTCACACTTAAGTTGTTTCGCCCTAAAACATTTTTAAAGTGAAATGTTTTAGTCCTGTTTAGTTGTGTAGGGCGAAGACAGTCAAATTTCAACTTTTTCTAGGTCTCCTTTAATCTTTTTGACATTTGACTCGTTAGATTTGTGCATGGTCGACCGGATCTGCACATACAATGTAGCTACACCTGCATGAAATTCTTTCGACATCCCAATTGTTTGTGATCCATAAAATAAAATAATCGTTTAAATCATTTTAAACATTTCGACAGATACTTATCACTTAACAATATATTTATATTAGGACGAAACAACTTTGGTCGAACTGGATTTAGGGCGAAACGACCCGGATCATTTGCTTTACCATGGTAATATCTGGTTTAATCATTAATATGAAGAAAATAAAAGTGGCTAAATATTAGTAGATATAATCTCTCTTGATCCGCCATTGATCGATGCATGACTTAAAATGATATCTTTCTATGTGTAGATCCTTAAAGACACAACATACGTGATTTTAGTGGGTTTTTTTGTACGACTGGTGAGTTATTCAAGCTACTGAATGGTCATATATTTGCCTACCGACATGGCACTGACACTCTACATACTTCTACTGTACCATCCCTCTACTGTAGCGGTCAACAGGTTTATTTTACAGTATTTGAAATTTTGCATGTAATGGCGGATACTAAAAGTAACTTTCAATTTAACAATGATACTGAATAGTTTTACCTGACTATAAATGCATAAACTCCGATTCGTGAAACAACTTTTATCGGTGAACAAACGCTTGCATGGGCGCCGCCATGTTTTTCCTAAACTCTTTCAGCGCCCCCTATCGGACACATCTCAAATAATATACAGGGGCCGGTATCTACATTCCACTGTGATAATACTATAATGGACTCAGTGATGATATCACCATAATAATTGCATGATGAAATCGTATCACTATAACGAATGGCGATATCAATATATAGTGTTTAGATGATTTTAGTGCAGAGACGTATATATCACAAATCAATAACAGTTCTCTGGTGATATTTTCAATTAAATAAATCAATAAGTGACAAACTGTAACTAATTGTTGATATCACTTTAACGAATGAGTGATATAACCAGTTTATTTTAACTTTAATAACTTGAATTGTTGATGATAGGAATTGGTGGAATAGTGGACCGGAAAACGGCGCCCATACGATATACAATTTACTACGACATTGGAACGGATGGGACATAAATGAAATTACCTGACAATTAATAACATTTCAGCCAAAGATATGAAGAAGTTGAAAAATGGGGAAATATCGATAAAAAAATGAGCATATATATATATTATGTAACACAGATAAGATTAGCGAGGAGTTCCGTTGTACTCTAGAGTGCTCAGAACTTCGTATCGACAAACAAATCTGCTTACTTGATCCATATTCTTTTTTGAACAAGCAAACGTTTTGAAAAAAATCTTCTGATTAAGAAATTGTCAAAAAAGAAAGAAGAAAAAAAGTGAAAAATATCTGTAAATGTATTACATGCAATGATAATGTATTTGTCCTTCTGTATGAAACGGTTTTAATATATGCTGTTCATATACTGAGCTAGTTTTCAATACAATTCATTCTTTATCAACGAATTTGTATCTGAAACTTGTTGCAATGCCATTTTCATTTTATTTTCAATTCAAAAAATTACATCTGCATAAAATGAATCATTTAATCGCAAAGCTTCATTTTAGTTTTAAATAACGCCTGACACACTTATAACGCTAACTGTGTACATTGACATGAGAGATAAAATATTGTGATGATACGGACAACAGGAGATAACCGAGTGACGACATGACACATTACACCGTGCTGCCATATATTAGTATCTAACGTTACACACGGGGTGATGGAGGTATACGACGAAGCTCCACCGTCATACACAGGTAGGTTTATTGTGAGTTATCTGATATTAATAAACAAAGGGAGTGGGGAGACATTTGATGAAGAGGAGATACGCTATCTAGGGCGTTAAGTTTGGATTTTGATGAGGAGTGTCGTCAAAATTAGGGTACAAGATCAAACTTGTGTTTGGTTATGAGCGTTTGGGAGGGGCGATGATAATTGTTCACCATTAAAAGTTAAATTTAGTTGAAGGCTCATTGGAAGTATTATAATGACATATATATTTGTACAGAGTTTTAAATGTTACAATAAGTAACAAGACTTCTACATCACGAGTTAGCTAATTGTGACGGACCCTCCTTTCTATTTATCTCTGTACCGGTTGATTATTGTTCTGCTGTTTATCTTTGTACCGGTTGCTTATTGTTCTGTTATTTATCTCTGTATCGGTTGCTTATTGTTCTGTTATTTATCTCTGTACAGGTTGCTTTTTGTTCTGTTATTCATTTCTGTATCGGTTGCTTATTGTCCTGTTATTTATCTCTGTACCGGTTGCTTATTGTTCTGTTATTAATCTCTGTACAGGTTGCTTATTGTTCTGTTATTTATCTCTGTACCGGTTGCTTATTGCTCTGTTATTTATCTCTGTATCGGTTGCTTAACGGTCTGTTATTTATCTCTGTATCGGTTGCTTATTGTTCTGTTATTTATCTCTTTACCGGTTGCTTACTGTTCTGTTATTCATCTCTTTACCGGTTGATTATTGTTCTGCTGTTTATCTTTGTACCGGTTGCTTACTGTTCTGTTATTCATCTCTTTACCTGTTGCTTATTGTTCTGTTATTTATCTCTGTATCGGTTGCTTATTGTTCTGTTATTTATCTCTGTACCGGTTGCTCATTGTTCTGTTATTTATCTCTGTATCGGTTGCTTATTGTTCTGTTATTTATCTCTGTACTGGTTGCTTATTGTTCTGTTATTAATCTCTGTACAGGTTGCTTACTGTTCTGTTATTTATCTCTTTACCGGTTGCTTATCGTTCTGTTATTTATCTCTGTACCGGTTGCTTATTGTTCTGTTATTTATCTCTGTACCGGTTGCTTATTGTTCTGTTATTAATCTCTTTACCGGTTGCTTATTGTTCTGTTATTTATCTCTGTACCAGTTGCTTATTGTTCTGTTATTTATCTCTGTACCGGTTGCTTACTGTTCTGTTATTTATCTCTGTACCGGTTGCTTATTGTTCTGTTATTAATCTCTTTACCGGTTGCTTATTGTTCTGTTATTTATCTCTGTACCGGTTGCTTACTGTTCTGTTATTTATCTCTTTACCTGTTGCTTATTGTTCTGTTATTTATCTCTGTACCGGTTGCTTATTGTTCTGTTATTTATCTCTGTACCGGTTGCTTATTGTTCTGTTATTTATCTCTGTACCGGTTGCTTATTGTTCTGTTATTTATCTCTGTACCGGTTGCTTATTGTTCTGTTATTTATCTCTGTACCGGTTGCTTATTGTTCTGTTATTTATCTCTGTACCGGTTGCTTATTGTTCTGTTATTTATCTCTGTACCGGTTGCTTATTGTTCTGTTATTTATCTCTGTACCGGTTGCTTACTGTTCTGTTATTTATCTCTTTACCGGTTGCTTATTGTTCTGTTATTTATCTCTGTACCGGTTGCTTATTGTTCTGTTATTTATCTCTGTACCGGTTGCTTACTGTTCTGTTATTTATCTCTGTACCGGTTGCTTATTGTTCTGTTATTTATCTCTTTACCGGTTGCTTACTGTTCTGTTATTTATCTCTTTACCGGTTGCTTATCGTTCTGTTATTTATCTTTGTATCGGTTGCTTATTGTTCTGTTATTTATCTCTGTACCGGTTGCTTATTGTTCTGTTATTTATCTCTTTACCGGTTGCTTACTGTTCTGTTATTTATCTCGTTACCGGTTGCTTATCGTTCTGTTATTTATCTTTGTATCGGTTGCTTATTGTTCTGTTATTTATCTCTGTACCGGTTGCTTATTGTTCTGCTATTAATCTCTATACCGGTTGATTATTGTTCTGCTATTAATCTCTATACCGGTTGATTATTGTTCTGTAATTTATCTTTGTACCGGTTACTTATTGTTATGCTATTAATTTCTCTATATGTTGCTTATTGTTCTGTTATTAATCTTTGTACCGGTTGCTGATTGTTCTGCTATTTATCTTTGTACCGGTTACTTATTGTTCGGCTATTAATTTCTCTACATGTTGCTTATTGTTTCTATGTTTTTATTCTGTACAATGTAGTTATTGTTTTATTATTTGAGTTTTGTACCTGTTGATTTTCGTTTTGAAATTTGAGATTCGTTTTGAAATTTGAGTTTTGTAACTGTTGATTTTCGTTTTGAAATTTGAGTTTTGTACCTGTTGATTTGAGTTTTGATATTTGTGTTTGGTACCGGTTGATTTTAGTTTTGATATTTGAGTTTTGTACCTGTTGATTTTCGTATTGAAATTTGAGTTTTGTACCTGTTGATTTTCGTTTTGAAATTTGAGTTTTGTACCTGTTGAATTTCGTTTTGATATTTGAGTTTTGTACCTGTTGATTTTCGTTTTGATATTTGAGTTTTGTACCTGTTGATTTTCGTTTTGATATTTGAGTTTTGTAACCGTTGATTTTCGTTTTTATACTTGAGTTTTGTACCTGTTGATTTTCGTTTTGATATTTGAGTTTTGTACCTGTTGATTTTCGTTTTGAAATTTGAGTTTTGTATCTGTTGATTTTCGTTTTACCGGTTGTTTAGCTACTGAAATAGTCTTCACATCCTCTGTTACGTGTCACTAAAATAGTTTACACACATTTCCATCAACTGTAGTGCGTTAACTGCAAGCTCCTGGAGGTAACAACAATACCGTTTGAAGTTAACAAGCACGTAGGACCACAGCTGAAAGACAAAAAGACAGACCACATGGACCTTCTACAAATCTTCATCACCATCACCATTATCTGCATTGCTGGAAAGACCCTAGCTAGGATCCTCCTTAACCATCACATCAAACATCTTGAGCTTGGTCTTTCGTGCCCGAAAGCCAGCGTAACTTTCAGAAGAAGTGAGGACATTGACATATGACGTTTTGCTGACCGTCAACTGCAGTGAAAATGTCACTATCAAAACTTGTACCTGTCCGCCACAAACAACGATCTAACAAAAGCGTATGACACAGGCAGCCGAGATTGCCTCTGGAAAATAACCAACAGGTTTAATTGATTTCCATACCACTTCATGACGATGGTCTGCTATTTTCATGACGGCATCAATGCAAGCAAAAGAAATCGCCGTGAGACAAGGCTGCGTGCTAGCCCAGACGCTGTTTAACCTGATGATGACATGGGGCCTTCCAGGACTCATATCCAGACATAGGTATTAGATACAGAACAGACGGCAAACTCTTCAATCTGTGATGCGTACTGAACAAGACCAATGACCAAGTTGACAAGCTCTTCACCAAACTTAAAACACACAGAGCCTCACCACTCTGTTCGAGAGGCACGGCAGAAAACGTAACTGATGACGCGAAAGCTTTATGCTGTGAAATCATGGCAGGATAAAGTCCCAATAGGGGTCACAGGAAAGCACGCCAAGTATCTCCGCTGGAATTGACAGTGACGAGAATGTCCGATGAACGCCTTCCCATCCCATATGCGTCCTGTATGGAGAACTTTAGGTTGGCGTTCGCTCCCACGGAAACAAAAAAGAAACTTTTAAAGATTCCCTAAAAACTTACCAAAATTCTTTGCCATCGACCAAAGCTCATTGGAAACCTCATCCTTTTAATTCCAGGGGTTACGTTCTCAGCACTCCTGGAATATGCCATGAAAAATGAAAAAATTGGTGTACATTAAGAGAATCTTGCGGTAGCTCAACAGTAAAATTGACCGGCTTTGAAGTCGGATGTTGCCTCTCTATAATATTAAAGGACAGTTTATGTTACACGAAACCAGGTAAATAGCTAACTTCATGCCTTTGATTTTGTCATGACATATTCCAGGGGTGCAGAGAACGTGAGCAAGCGTAACCCTTGGGACTTCAAAGTTGGGGAAACTTGAACACGCTCAACTGCAAAGGGAGCAACATGAAAAGACAGCCGAGCAGTTCTAAGCAGCAGGTTCCCAACATCTCTGATATGTTTTCTTTGAAATTGTACAAAAGCATTTCCGGGTGCGGATATATGGCTTGATCAGCCTTTTCCAAACCACAACGCATCTTCATGTCCCGTGACAATGGTGAAGACGGTCATTTTCCTAAAGTAAGGACGAACTAACAAGGTTTAACTAGAATAGTTTTTATACACTATCAAAATTTGTAGCTGTCAGGCCCCTGTTGCACAAAGCTTGGTTAGAGTTAGTTAAAATTCAAATATGAATACAATAAAATGAAAAAAACCCACCATCTTTCATGAAACCGTTCTCATGCTCAAGTATGCATTTGAAACGGTATTTGGCTTGGAGTATCTCTATTGGAATACGTTTTTTACACAGTTCATCATCGGCTGCCGGGTGTACACAGAACATGTTGGATATCTAATAAATAACGGAGGAAAACAACAACGTGACAATGTTATCCACTTGAGTGGTTTAATCAGAGACGTATATATAACCATTAATTGTAATATTACGTCTAATTTAGTTTAAATAATAGTCTACATAATCACATCCCTGGTTGATACGATTTCAATTTTGATCGTGTCGAATATCAACTTTAGTATAACGCAATAAATTGGGTCTTGTGCAAGACTATGACGTTTTACGCTCATTATGGTCACATGACCTATCACATGAGTTTAGTAAACCAGGAAGATGGCGGACGAAAGCGAGAGACAACCTCTCCTTGTAAACAATCAGAACACTCACGGATTAGGAAGTCCGCCAGCTTATTCGGCGGTGCCAGGTAGGTTCCAAATGACATAATATATGTTTTCAGGTTTTCATATCGAAAAATATCCACTTTGTACGATGACAATGTACATTGTTTACGAGGATCGCTAAACACAGACGGTCGCTGTATCATTCTTCGGAGAATCGTTATCAGTCCTTATTGTGACCCTAGTTCTTCTTCTTCTTCCTTTAATGGAGAATACTCTATCTAGAGTGTTGAGTTCTCCAGCGCGACTTATGCCGAAGGCAGCTAAAACTTCCGTATGTACAGTTTAAAAGAGGTAAAAACAGTGGGGTCTACATAGCGTATTGGGTAACAGGTCATCTCGGCACTTGGAGAGTTCGGCACTTACGTTTCGAGACACCTCGGCACTTTTTCTTCAAAAAGTGCCGAGGTAACCAAGTTCCGAAAATATAAGTGCCGAGGTAACCAAGTGCCGAAAATATAAGTGCCGAGGTAACCAAGTGCCGACTTCACCAAGTGCCGAGGCGTCTAGCATTCGCGTATTGGTGGCCGGCTGCCTAGTACCACTAATATTAGGTTATAACGTACCCAGCGACTGAAAGCCTATAATAACTAGTTGCGTGCCCCTGTGCTCGTACTGTACGAGGGCGTGCCTGAAGCTGTCCAGGGTGGGAGACGATCGTATGTCGGGGGGGATTTCATTCCATGTGATGATGGTACGTGGTACAAACGAGTATCGGTATGTGTCGAGCTTTGTTGGAATTTGCCGTATGTTGTTAGCAGTAGCTCCTCTGGTTCTTCCTGATGTTACGGTAATGTCCTGGTGTATTGGTACCTCAACCAGATTGTTAATTGTTTGTGACACATCCTGGTTCCCTGTTGAAGTAGTCCCCTGTGGCGAATCTGGCAGCTTGTCGCTGGACTCTCTCAAGTTGGTCCTTCTGTTGTTGAAGATTGGGATCCCAGACAGTGGAGGCATACTCAAGCACGGGCCTAACGAGAGTAGTATAAGCCTGGGCCTTGACTTCTCTGGTGCATCCCCTAAGGTTTCGCCGAAGGAATCCAACCGATCTTGCAGCCTTGGCAGAGGTTTGGTTTATGTGCTCACGCCAGGAGAGATCCGAGCTGATATAGGCCCCAAGGTATTTGCTTCCAGGGACAGTCTCTAGGGTTTGGCAGTGGAGTTGGTAGTCGGTGTGGATAGGGTTTCTTTTCCTGGAAATGTTGATGGTGATACACTTGTCCGGGTGAAACTCCATCTGCCAGTCTCGCTCCCACTTTTGCAAGGCATTGAGGTTGTCCTGTAGGATGGCAGTATCCTCACTCTTGTTGATGATGCGATATATGGCGCAGTCGTCAGCAAAGAGTCTGACTGGAGACTGTACGACATCTGGTAGGTCGTTTATAAAGGCCAAAAACAAGAGCGGGCCTAACACTGATCCTTAGTTATACATAATAGATCGGTAGTAACCACTCTTATATATATAACGTGCGTAAAAATTCGCCCCAAATTATGTAGCAGGAATGATTTTGTTTTGTCAACTGTAAGATACAAAGATTATATCGGAATATCTAATTTAGTACACAGGGACCTGAAAATTTGCAACAGCTATATATATATATTTGGGGTGGCATTTCTACCGAAAATTGATCTCCCCCCCCCCCCCCCCCCCCCCCCCCNTACTCTAAACACCATAGATTAGGTCAAAATATAACTGTAACAAATTATCAGGTCCCTGTTATTTAGCACAGACTTATAATTAGATATAGTAACATATCCGTGACTGCTTGTCGTCTACCACTTCTGGTAGAGTGTGTGTCCTCAAACGGCATAGTAAATGGATGAAATGTGTTAAACAATTTAAAACCTGGACCCAAACTGTGACTGGAAAAAGTTGGGTGTTTACAATTTACATAAATTAAACTATTAACTTACCTGGTAAAACCCTTAACTAATCCATTATGCGCCATTTTTTCACAACACTCAAACCATTTCATTAAAAAAATGCATTGTGCCCCATCAATATTGCCCCAAACAGAGTCATGATCTGTGATCAGTGGTTCATTTAAGGATCTGGTTCTATAAGATTTAAATCTGGTTCGCACAACAAGTTGTTAGCCCTTAATCCAGAGGGTAATATATTTAGTGTTAAAAAAGTTAATGCTTTCATGTTTCACAAACGATTGTGATGTTGGAAGATATTAGGTATATGCTGTGTTGAGATGTGGTCGTGCAGGCACGAGTCTAAATAATATATGGCCATACACTTATAGACAGGCTATGAAATGTTCAACCCTGAAAATATTTTAGGGCAAAACAACCTAGCTAACGACTTGGGCCAACTGGATTTCGGGCATAACGACCCGACACTATTTGAAGTTGGGGTTTGTTTCAGCAGGTTAGGACTTGGTGGTTTCATTCTGTTTAAGGGTCTGATTATATTTATGGTTAGGGATTTATTTGATGGACAAGTTAGGGTAAATGGTCATAGTTAGTTTCAGGTTCAAGTACGGGTTTACACTTGGAGTTAAGTGTCACTAGGTTTTTAGTAAACATTACCTGTTTGTTGTCATGGATTTGGGATAATGTGGTTTCAGGATGATATGGCAATCTTAGGGTATTATGGTTGTCATTTTGGGGCGAAATTACATATAAAATAACAGGTATAGTCTTAAAATGGTTCAATCAATGTCTATGTTTAATTCTGAGATTTTTTTATGGCTTAGTGACATGTGACCCACTGAAGGTTTTTACTTATGTAGTGGAACTTAACCTGTTAATTACTCAGGTGATCAAGCAGCCCAATTAGTGATGGCGTCCACATAGAGTTCAAAGGTCACAGGTTCAAATCCTGGTCTGATCCCGTTGCAATTTACTTTCTCCTGTTACACTTATAAATGGCTATAAAGGAAAACCATGTGAGGCTTAATACACAGCATGCTAATAGTCTCAACATGGCAGAGTATAACAGCAATAAGAATCGCCCATTAAAATCCAGCATACAGACAGTATTTCTAATACTAAGTAGCCTGAGTGTGCACATTAACTTTGTCTATGTGTGGGGAGTGACCCCCTAATTCCACTGTACATGTTATGATGTTCAAATCATGAAAGCTAACTGGGGTTTTAGTAAAGGGACATAAATCATGTATTGGAGTTCCTTTGTGTGCATGTTTGAATTTTGTTTGAATATTTTATGAACTTCAATCTCCAAATTCATCACTTTTACCTGAAAAATATACATGTTCTAAGTACGGTAACATCCCTTGAAGGATTAAATCTCCATAGGGAACGTGTTTTGTCAATAACTTACAAACTTGTGTGTTTCTATATACTTTTTTTTCTTGGATGATGAAAGAGATTGTGAATAATCCCCTGAAAAATATCATCATTAGATAGTTAAATGAGTTAATTTTGTTTCAGGACCATCTGGCGAAAATGTGACTGTTCCACCAATAGGTCCTGATGAGTTACCTCCCCCTTACACCCCCACCGCTCAGGGTGGGATTCCCATGGTGAACTGTAAAGTATGCCAGGCACTCATCAACATAGAGGGAAAAACAAACCAGCATGTTGTCAAATGTACCGTGTGTAAGGAGGCTACAGTGAGTTATCTCCCTTAATACACCCAACACTGATGTGTTGTTCATGCCTCTTTATATAACTCTTGTAAAGGATTTATCTATAATTCAAAAAAAAAATTTTTTTTTACTTGAAAGTCATTTATATAGTCTAAATGTGAATTATGTGTAGATTTGATGGATACAAGTAATATAATTTTGTATGTGATTGATTATTAATTTCAATGACCTCTATATTTCAAAATGCTATACAATATGTTAGTCTGTTAGGTTTTTTTGTTTGGTACATCTGACTTGTGAAGAGCCTGCAATGAAAACATAATAAAGAGGCTAGGTAGATACATGAGAATAAGATCAGAACATTTGGTACATTCAAGTCAATTCACTTCCTGGTTTTGTTGTTTGTGGTTACCAGGAATATTATTTAGTCCATAACAGTATTTTTAGCCCATTATTGTTTGTAAATATTTTTTAGCCAATCAAAGCACCCCCACCAGGAAAGAAGTATGTGCGATGCCCTTGTAACTGTCTGCTGATCTGCCGAAGTTCGGCTCAAAGAATAGCTTGTCCGAGACCAAATTGGTAAGTATAGTTCCGTAATCACTCGTATATGTACATTTTGTTGAATTATACATAATGGCTATATTCTGATTGGTGAATTTTTATCACATTACGTACCCACCAGTTATCAGATTACATCTGTCTTTATATAAAGTCTTCAGAAAAGGTTTCTATTCTAATGAGGAAGAAATACCAATTCTTTTGTTTCTTTAAGGTAATGAAATACTTATTATTAGAACATCTAATAGGAGGCGCGGTAGCCCAGTGGTAGTACGCCGGGCTCGTGACAGAAGGGTTGCGGGTTCGCGCCACAGCACGGCAATGTGTTGTATCTTTGAGCAAGATACTTAACTCCGCTTGTTCCAGTCTACTCAGCTGTAAATGAGTATGTGGTTGGGCAGTGCTAGACTTGTTGAATGCTAGCTGTTAGCGCCGAAATGGCAGCTCCGGCTGTATGCTCCCCAGGGAGTTGAGAAAGATATTGGCTGGTTGCAAACGCCCTATAACCATGGATAATAATTTGTGAACCGCTTTGAGACAACCTACGAACTAGGATGTGATAAAGCGGTATATAAGAACCTCCAATTATTATTATTATTATTATTATTATTATTATCTACAGTATGATTGTATTTTCTAGGAAATAAATTCCATTTACTGATCTTCATATTTATTAGATGTATATGATTATGCTTTGTGTAATTAATTGTTCAGTACTGTTGTTTTGTCTTTTTCAGTCGTAGAATCATCACCCTTGGAAATATGATTTCCACGGTAACGGTACGGTCTCCGGGGACTCAGAGGATTCGGTGTGCCCACTGTGGGGACATATACCTGGTGGGTATCTTGTTTAGATGGCTATTAACGTCGCCCTTGGTTATTGGCAATCCCTGTTAAATCAAAGAAATAGAATTACTGTGTTTAACATTAACAAGTTGTCTACCATTAACAGTCTTAGTCAAGCCAGTTGTATATATGTGTTCAGTACCTAGAGGAAGCAGGTGTCGCTGTGTGATCAGGCCATACAGAGCTATCCCATTCAGTTTGTTCCAAAAGCAGTACAGCTTATAGAAGTTAACAATGTAATAACATAATGTGTAAAATGTAATAAATGTATTTTATATGTATTAGATAGAGCTATTTGTCTGGTTTACAATACAAAGTATAAGCTGAATGTACTGATAGCCCAGAGTTGTGATATTTGAATTACTATTGACTCTACATGATAATTAATACAGAACTATATATCTCTTGACATATCAATAACTTACCCTGAAAATTACATTGGATGTACCCTCTTAAGAGATCTGTCTCTGATTTATCTTATAGTTCAACACTTTGGGAAATAACCTACTAGCAAGATGTCCACACTGTAGGAGTGTGTAAGTATGGAAGAAAACTGATCCTCATGTCCAAAACGTGTATCTTGTCTCTTACCGTCTTTGAAATCCATGTATGAATTTCGCTGTGTCTTCCAAGGAAAATACAAATAAATCTTTTCTAATGAAATTGCATTTGAAACCAAAATATTTTTATCATTTTTTTTTATGAAGAGTAAAAATATTTAAACCATAAAACATTATGTTGATAGTGACTCACTGATAGAACCAGATCACTCTCCTGTCTGTCCGCTTCATGCCAACTCTAATTTTTTGTTTTGATATGTCATATCATTGGCTGGATTGTATGTCAAAGGTGAAGGTCACATAACCAGGTCAAGGTTCAAAACAAAACATTGTCACTTTCCAGTCTGTTAGACACCTACCAGTCGGGGACATTTGTTGCTTTAGATAATTGGGTGAGACTTGTGTTATACTCAGTTAACCATCACTCACACTCAGTCTGTATTATAGGTATATTACAGTATATGTTTGACTCCACAGGTCATCGGTGGGACCAGAATACGCCAGAAGAAGGGCAACCATCTGCTTTGTGTTTGGACTGATATTCCTTGGAGCTGGAATTGGTGTCACGGTAAGGTTTTATCCACTTTGACTTAAGAAGTGTACCAGTATGGGGCAGGGGATATTGACAAATACATCTTCTTGTCAACGGTATGTACAATTTAAATAATGCCTGATGTTATGTTATAATTGGATAATGCATTTGCCAATTTTGTATGTATGTTTGTAGAAACCTATTTTTAAGTACCTCTGTATGTACATTTTGTTAACACAAAATAAAGCGGGCATTGCTAGGTTTTAAAACTTTTATAAACATAAAGTTTGTTATGTTAAAGTGCTGATAATTAAATTCCAGGTGGGGACCTATGAGTTGGCCAGTGAAAGTGGTGGTATATACACAGTGTGGATAGGTAAGTCATATTTGTCTCCAGTTACCTGTAATTTACAGCGATGGACTCCTTGGTGTTTATCTGTAATTTACAGGGAAGAATTCACTTGTATTTACCTGTAATTTACAGAGAAGGGTTCACTTGTGTTTACTTGTAATATACAGGTAATGATAGATTCAGAGGTGTTTACCTGTAATTTACAGAGAAGAATTCATTTGTATTTACCTGTAATATACAGGTAATGATATTCAGTGGTTATAACCTGTAATTTACAGGGAAGAATTCACTTGTATTTATCTATAATTTGAAGTTTTAAACCATGTTAAAAGTATTTTGTTTTATTTCTAGTACTCATTGTTAAGTCACAGTTCTGGTTTATTTCTGTTCTAGGAGCATTCCTTACTGGCATCATCTTTGTCTTACGAGGAATCTACTTCGCTGCTATGAAGGTCAGCAATGTTGTGGAATCTGCTGCAGCATAAATACAAAGAAAAGATTTCGACCTATCGGTGACAACAGGAAAATGACCAAACTATAGAAAAGATCAATTGAGAATGTCACCATGTTTTTTTTTAAATCTTTGACTGGAAGATATATTTTGTGCGCTTGGAATTTTCTACTGAAGAAATTATTTTACATTTTTTGGGCTAGATGATTTTTGTACAATTTTGACACTTTTTATGCTTTTTCTTTCTTTATGCTACAAACCTACTGATCACAAAATGATGTTGTAATGCTATTTAATTTCACATTACTAAAGATGATTTTATATAAAAAAAAAATTGAATTGAATTCCTACAAGTTTAAATACAGTCAGAATTATTAAGTCACAAAACATTTCTGTATGAAAATACTTTTTATGGAGATGAACTCTCCCTCCTCATGTACATATACACAAACCATTATCATTGTAACAGTATGTCACCACCATACCTGTAACAGTGTATCACCACCATAGCTGTAACAGTGTATCGCCACCATACCTGTAACCGTATGTCACACCCATACCTGTAACAGTGTATCAATGCCATACCTGTAACAGTGGATCACCACCATACCGGTAACAGTGTATCACCACCATACCTGTAGCAGTGTATCACCACCATACCTGTAACATTGTATCACCACCATTCCTGTAACAGTGTATCACCACTATACCTGTAACAGTGTATCACCACCATTCCTGTAACATTGTATCACCACCATACCTGTAACATTGTATCACCACCATTCCTGTAACAGTGTATCACCACCATACCGGTAACAGTGTATCACCACCATACCTGTAGCAGTGTATCACCACCATACCTGTAACAGTGAATCGCCACCATACCTGTAACAGTGTATCGCCACCATCCCTGTAACAGTATGTCACACCCATACCTTTAACAGTGTATCAATGCCATACCTGTAACAGTGTATCACCACCATTCCTGTAACATTGTATCACCACCATACCTGTAACATTGTATCCCCACCATACCTGTAACAGTGTGTCACCACTATACCTGTAACAGTGTATCACCACCATGCCTGTAACAGTGTATCACCACCATGCCTGTAACAGTGTATCGCCACCATGCCTGTAACAGTGTATCACCACCATACCGGTAACAGTGTATCACCACCATACCTGTAGCAGTGTATCACCACCATTCCTGTAACAGTATGTCACCCCCATACCTGTAACAGTGTATCACCACCATCCCTGTAACATTGTATCACCACCATACCTGTAACATTGTATCCCCACCATACCTGTAACAGTGTATCACCCCCATACCTGTAACAGTGTATCAATGCCATACCTGTAACAGTGTATCACCACGATACCTGTAACAGTGTATCACCACCATACCTGTAACAGTATGTCACACCCATACCTGTAACAGTGTATCAATGCCATACCTGTAACAGTGTATCACCACCATACCTGTAACAGTGTATCGCCACCATCCCTGTAACAGTATGTCACACCCATACCTGTAACAGTGTGTCACCACCATACCTGTAACAGTGGATCACCACCATACCTGTAACAGTGTACAGATCAGCTATAATAAACCAGGATATACTATCACACATGGACTACGAAAGGAAAGATCTCCTGTTGTAGAGATACTGTGTGTCACCACCATACCTGTAACAGTGTATCACTACCATACCTGTAACAGTGTATCACCACCATAACTGTAACAGTATGTCACCACCATACCTGTAACAGTGGATCACCACCATACCTGTAACAGCATGTCACACCCATACCTGTAACAGTGTATCACCACCATACCTGCAACAGTGTATCACCACCATACCTGTAACAGTCTGTCACCCCCATACCTGTAACAGTGGATCACCACCATACCTGTAACGGTGTACAGATCAGCTATAATAAACCAGAATATACTATCACACATGGCCTACGAAAGGAAAGATCTCCTGTTGTAGAGATACTGTGTGTCACCACCATACCTGTAACAGTGTATCACTACCATACCTGTAACAGTGTATCACCACCATAACTGTAACAGTATGTCACCACCATACCTGTAACAGTGTATCACTACCATACCTGTAACAGTGTATCACCACCATAACTGTAACAGTATGTCACCACCATACCTGTAACAGTATGTCACGCCCATACCTGTAACAGTGTATCAATGCCATACCTGTAACAGTGTATCACCACCATAACTGTAACAGTATGTCACCACCATACCTGTAACAGTGGATCACCACCATACCTGTAACGGTGTACAGATCAGCTATAATAAACCAGAATATACTATCACACATGGCCTACGAAAGGAAAGATCTCCTGTTGTAGAGATACTGTGTGTCACCACCATACCTGTAACAGTGTATCACCCCCATCCCTGTAACAGTGTATCACCACCATACCTGTAACAGTGGATCACCACCATACCTGTAACAGTGTACAGATCAGCTATAATAAACCAGAATATACTATCACACATGGACTACGAAAGGAAAGATCTCCTGTTGTAGAGATACTGAAGCACTTCAAATGTTGTCATTTAACAGTCATTCCACTTATGTACTAATTGATTATAAGAAATACAGGGACAGAGGCTAGTTTCTGGTTGAGGATTAATATAAATAATGATTATTGGAGATAATAGGTTGGAGGCCAGTTTCTATCTGAGGATTTATATGCAATTTGATCATTAGCCCTACTGGGTCAGAGTCCAGATTCTGGTTTGAATTATAGATTATCACACATTATTTTCAGGGTTGATCGTTTGAACAATTTTCTCATTGCTGGCACTTGGATAAAATCTAGCATCGGCAGTGATAATGGGTTGAAGGCCAGATTCTGGTCAAGGAATTATATTGATTGATAATAAGTTAAGTTGGAAGTCAATTTCTTGTCAAGGTTTCATATTAATTTATGATAAAAATAATAATGAGTCGGAGGCCATTTTCTTGTTGAGGAATCTTGAGTGTGGACATTTTGAGAAAGACACTTTCATATATAGTGGAACAAATTAAAAACAAAGTTGTTGTAGTAGATCCATTCTTTATATTGATATGTTGATTGCTCCAAATTATTGTAGGCATACAGGAACAAAATTATAATATGAATTCAAATGTTTTTACTTTTTCAATAAAAAAATTAAGTTTTTAAGTCCGTATTTACATGTGATATTACAGTAGGCATAGTATTCCTAAATATTTGTTCTTATCTAAGTAATTAGTCCCCATCTGGTACTACAGGAGGGAATGATCACCAGTACGTTGTACTACCGGACGGAACTTTAACAATCACTGTGCCACATTCGTTTATCGCAATCCAACCGGTTGAACCTGTTCGTTTATGAAATAAGGTCAGACCTAGTAATCTGATGCTGCTTTCAGGCAATCCTTGTAAGGCCTGCATAAACATTTGCAGCTCTACCAGTGGTAGTAACTGGTACTAACAATCTACCGGTGGTAGGAACTGGTACTAACAATCTACCGGTGGTAGTAACTGGTACTAAAAGTCTACCAGTGGTAGTAACTGGTACTAACAATATACCAGTGGAAGTAACTGGTACTAACAATCTACCGGTGGTAGGAACTGGTACTAACAATCTACCGGTGGTAGTGACTGGTACTAACAATCTACCAGTGGTAGTAACTGGCACTAACACTCTACCAGTGGTAGTAACTGGTACTAACAATCTACAGGTGGTAGTAACTGGTACTAAAAGTCTACCAGTGGTAGTAACTGGTACTAACAATATACCAGTGGAAGTAACTGGTACTAACAATCTACCGGTGGTAGTGACTGGTACTAACAACCTACCGGTGGTAGTAACTGGTACTAACAATCTAGTGGTGGTAGTAACTGGTACTAACAATCTACCGGTGGCAGTAACTGGTACTAACAATCTACCAGTGGTAGTAACTGGCACTAACACTCTACCAGTGGTAGTAACTGGTACTAACAATATACCAGTGGAAGTAACTGGTACTAACAATCTACCGGTGGTAGTAACTGGTACTAACAATCTAGTGGTGGTAGTAACTGGTACTAACAATCTACCGGGTGTAGTAACTGGTACTAAAAGTCTACCAGTGGTAGTAACTGGTACTAACAATCTCCCGGTGGTAGTAACTGGTACTAACAATCTAGTGGTGGTAGTAACTGGTACTAACAATCTCCCGGTGGTAGTAACTGGAACTAACAATCTACCGGTGGTAGTAACTGGTACTAAAAGTCTACCAGTGGTAGTAACTGGTACTAACAATCTACCAGAGGGGATATAACCATACTGCTGGAAGAAATTACAGTGAAAGTACACTGTAATTGATACTAACAGAGGGAATGATAGGTTTGTGAACTGTCCGTCCATATTCTGTCTTTGGTATTCCATCCTGCCATACCAAAAGTTTGTCTGGAGCATATCTCCTATATTATTTCACCTGGAAATATAGAATTTTGTGAAAAGGTCTTTTTGGGGATGATTTTTGTCCTCAATCATTGAACAAATATTCATTGCATGCTGATATTCAAGTCAGCTATTAGAAAAACAACTTTACCTGTAATATACTTCTATGTATCGGTATAATTTCTGCACAAGTGGCTGATCCACAAATGTACAGCCTGGTCAATAAAGAAATGAATGTTGCTGGTAGGTAACTATTGATTGCCTCACAATACTCAAAGTTGATTTTTACCCAGATCTATTATCTAGGAATATAATATCTTTTCCATTTACATGAATCAAGTATTTAAAAAAACTGTAATAGTGACTTTGTATTATACAAGTACACGTAGCAGGAACATCTATCCCCTATAGTATGTAATCGTAGGATTTTTCGTGATTCCATTCCCGGTAATATTTTATTTTCTTATGATATAAATCCTTTCATTTATAATTTGTTATGTTCATGTATAATTTATTTTGAAAAGATGCAATTTTAATTACCACATCCCTCCTTACCTGGAATGAGGTTTGATAAATAAGGCTAAAAAATCCCTCCTGTTACAACAGGACTTTATAGTTACTGATAGCTCTGTAAGTACACTATATATTATAACCTATAATTACACTATATGTTTAGGTATTGGTAACCATGTACAACGTAGTTTTAAAAACGATTAAAGTGTACATTTCTCTCTTGGGTTTTTTAAGATGTTTTCAGAAACATGTATTTCCGTGTGACCTAATGCGATGGACTTTTGGTGCGTTGTTAAGCTATATATATTAATGTTTATCAGGCAGGTTTTTAACTTTGATGAAGTTACCTTTTTCCTGTGGAAATAAAATTTCCATTTTTCTGCTGACTGCATCTACCAGTCTGTGATATTAATCCTGTAAATATACTTAATTTAAAATCTTTACCAAAATTTACCAGTGCATAGTTGGTGTTGTTTGGTTTTAGTAATTACAGCAATTGCAATGTCCAATCTTCTTTACATACCATTTGTCATTAAAAATTGAAAAGAAATTTTCACACGACCCATTTCCCAGTGTGCATATTTAAAAGTTGACATTTTAGCTGTATAGTAGTCTGTTGGATAACTGAACTACTGTAATGAAGCGGATGTAAAACCACTCAAACAAACTGTGTAGTTGCCCATCTTTTAACCCTGGTGATAATATAAGGATTAGGTATAAATAGGGTTGATGTCATAAAATATATGCATTGAGAATATTGGAATTCTATGATTTTGAAAAAAAAAACTAGAAATTTCACCAAATTTGGAAATGAATATTTACCCTTAATTTATTGACAACGGTACATGGACGGAATGAAATGTCGAGTGTGGTTCTCTCTGTCAAGGAGTGAAAATGTTTACCGCAGATGGTAACAGAACTGTTATATTTACTTTTAAATGTGTAGGTCCTTGTTGGTGCAATATAATTGATGTCGCAAACATTGTGTTAACTTTCATTTGTTTAAAAATTGTCAAATATGTCTTAAAATTAATACAAATGTAATGTGTGAACCAATATGATTTATACGAAGGATTTGAAAATGACGCTTGAACAAATACCGTGTGATTTGGTCCTGGCTGTCAAGCTTATTGCTCCCCTTATACATCTCAAATAAAAAGATAAACGAATGATTTTGAGTATGTACATTGAACAAAGGTTAGTACAATATATCACTATGAAAAAATTTGTATTGCCACAATTACATTAATATTCAATACCAAAACAATATAAAACAATTCATGTCATATGACTTCATTACCATAAATCGTTGTTATTTCATTGACCTTATGGATCTATAAATACTCATATCACTCTTTGATATTTATATGTATCGGAAGATTTGTAACCAAACTTTCATAAAAGAAGCAAGGAACATTCATGAAGAAAAAAACTCTCCTAATCAACAAATTGTTTTGCTTTTCAGATTTTAAGAAAAATATTTCAGTACACTGTATCATAGTTTGCTATATGCCTGAGTACTGAGGTGATACAAATGTCCAGCTTCACTATGCTTGTCATTGTGATTACACTAAGTTTACTATCGACTTCTCTATGTGTATGAATTGTATTTAATACGTCTTTTGTATAAAATATTTTTAACAAATCTTGAACAGTATATGAATCAGTTCTGGTTCACAATATCATTGTATCTACTCTATGTGCTTACGTAATGGTTAGTGTGAGTCTGCATTTTGTATTATAGTGTGTGAGAGGTATTTATAATAAATATGTTATACATTGTAAATGTAAAAACTTCCTTACAATGAATCTGTCAACTGGAAGTTCTTATTTCAAAATGTCTTCTTTTTTTTTTAGATAATTGAAAATTAGCTTTGTGCAAATTTATATAAATGTTAATAAAGAGAAGAAAAGAAATTCAGAACAATGTAGATTTAGCAACCTAGATCCTATATAATTATTAAGTAATAGTCATAAACAGATGATAAAGTACATTTGTTTTGCTGTATAGAACAAATTGATCAGCAGAGAGCTTCAACAGTCAATTCAGTATAAACTTCTTGTTTTAAGGAAGGTTTTCGATGATTATGTAATATTTAATATATTTAATGTCAGATGAAGACTTTTTATATAGAAGGCTCATTATGGCTGTGATTGTACAGATATTCCATGTGCTGGTATTATGTTTACAATGTAATCAGATAACTTCCCAGTGTCCAGTGACACATAGCTTATTTGTTCAACCTTCCGCCTGCCCCCTCACAAGTAACAGCTTCTACCCTAATATCAAGTTAGGGGGGGGG